TACGTCCGTCCGCGGATCTGCTTTTTTGTCTGTCTGCCTACGCACTGATCTGTTTTTTCGAGGAAAAACGTCAAAAAAGTACGAAATACTGTGCATAACTTTTTCGACGATTTCATACGAACTGATAATTAGAATATGTTGGATGATTGGATTAGTAAAATATTAGTAACCTGCAGCTCTAGAATCTCAAGGATTTCCTGAACAGCAGCCAATCAGAGGCAGTTTATTTTCTCAGGTTATTTCCTCCTTCAGAGAGAAAACATTTCTAACAGAAACGGGTCCACAGGTGAGGAGGAGAGAATCTGATAGTAATCTTAATCTAATCTGAAGGTGGTTGTGAGCAAATCACTAAGTGGGCAAACAAGAATTCTTCTTCTTCTTCTTCCTCTCAGAGGAAAACCCAGCAGCATGGCGGGGGGGCAATGAGTGAAATGGAGTTCTTTCTTTCAAACTGTCAGACCGTAGTAGCCATGTTTGCTCAGCCATGTCTTTGTCTAAATGCGTCTCCCAGAAATGAGTTTTTGGAACTTAGGATGTCTGTATTCCTCTTCTACTAGTTTGGCTTCCAGATAGACGAGTCCGAGTAGCGCCATCTCACTGCGGAGCTGAGCCCCACCTGGTTTGTAGATGTACAGTGTGAGCAGGTAGATTGCATCAGAGCGTCGGGCCGCACAGTGGGAGAACAAACATGGTGAACTGGGAACTTTTAAACCCTGAGGTTTCATCGTACTGTTTGAGCTGTAGCTGAGAGCAACAATTGAAAATAATCACACAGTGTAATGCCGGCTTAACCAGCTGCTAACAGCATCTGATTCATCTTCCAAAAAAGAAAATTAAAAACAATCCAGACTTGGAAACAAAGTTTCTCTTCCATCCAGGAAGCTTTTTCAATTCAAAATGTCAGAAACAGCGTTGAGTTCCAGGTTTTATCCAGCAGCCCAACAAAGCCTGGTTTATGTTTAGAAAACATGCAAATAGAAACGGATGAACGGGTCCCCCCCCCCCCTTTGGAATGGGGGTCGTTTGGCTTCTTTGTTAGCCTGCAATGCCCCAGAGACATTTAGGACACATTTCTAGTTTCCAACCTCTAATGCCTCATCCTGACTCTGTAACTTTCAGTTGATGGTTTTGTTTTGTTGGTGTTTCTTTGTTCTCTGTTCTTCTTTTGATAATCAATCAATCAGGCTTCCTCTGAACAACAAAAGCATCAACGTGTCCAGCTCTGCTACCAGATATCCAGTCTAGCTGTGGTAAAAGTATTTCTATTCATTCAGGAGGGAGTGAGAGTATTTTTATGTTCCTGCATAAAGGCATGTATTACGTAACGCCTCTCCACTCCCTTCCAGATCAGCTAACTGGTCTGTAAACTGGTTCTGGTCAGGCGCGCCAATCATAAATCCATCTGTTGAATGAAAGTCTGTTTTCCCTCGATGATGGTTTACGTTTCAGTATAGCAGTCAGTGAAACATGATCAGATGCTGCGTAGAGGAGCTCTGTGGGGTTTTTCCTGTTGGTGTCCTCCTGGGGGGTCCCGTCAGCTCTCGACCGCGGCGAATAATAAAACAGGAATGTCGTAAAAGTTTCCAGAACGAACACCTCAGTAAGGACCACAGACTCCTGCATCACTGTGACTATTAATGGACTCAGGAGGTCTTCATACAGACGTCTGTTGTTGATCTCAGTCAGGTTTACTGACAGGTTGGACCTTCTCCTCGGTACCTCACCAGCGATGTCACTATGCATTTAATGATGGTTAACATTCAATCAGTAAACTGCTGTAATAGGACAACAGACTAAAGTTTGATCCGTTCCATCACTCTTGATCCCGACACAGATTTAGAGAAGTCAATTAACCTAACAGACATGTTTTTGGACTGTGGGGGGAAGGCAGAGTACCCAGAGAGAACCCACGGATGCTCAGGGAAAACATGCAGACTCCATGCAGAAAGACCACGGGCCGGGAATCAAACCCAGAACCTTGTTGCTGGTAGGCAGTAGTGCTACTCACTGCGCCACTGAGATGCCCTCAGATTTAAAGTTTGATTCTAGTTCAAATCAGGGTCAAACAGTTAATCTAACACACTTGGAATAAATTCACAACAGCTTCCAATCGAAATATAAGAATTTATTAACAAAAATCTTTTAACTTTCAAATGTTTTAAAACTCAACTAAAAATAAATAGCTACAAACAAGATTGTATAATGTAAGATAAAAAGGCTCTGAAGCAGTGGCGTCTCTAGAAATGTTTTATAGGGGGGCCAGATAGGGCCACTAAAAATCTTGGGGTGGCCACTGACACTAAAAGCCATTATTTCAGGGTTTGAATCTACTACTGTGGTAAACCTGCCTGTAGAAATCAGAAAGGCTTCAGTAAAAACCTCCTCAGATCCTGGTTTATTGTGTGATTTTTAATGTTACATCGCTGGCTGTGCAGAATGGGAGGAAATGTTAAACTGATGCTACTTTACCCTGACTAGT